AGGGCGGCGGCGGCAAGGGCGGCGGCGAGGGTGGCGGCGGCGAGGGTGGAGACGAGGGCGGCGGCGGCGAGGGCGGCGGCGACGGGGGCGGCGCGGCTGGAGGCGAGGGCGAGAGCGGCGGCATGCCGGACGGCGGCGGAGGCGAGGGCGGCGGCGGGGCGGGCGGCGGCGGCGAGGGTGGTGGTGGCGGCGACGACGACGGCGGTGGTGGCGAGGGAGGAGGCGGGGGAGGCGGTGACGGCGGAGGTGGCGACGGCGGCGGAGGCGGCGGCGCCAGGCCGGGCGAGAAGGGCAGTGGAGGCGGGGCCGGGAGTGGCGAGGGCGGCGGCGGAGGGGGCGATGACGGAGGCGGCGATGACGGAGGCGATGATGACGGAGGCGGTACTGGTGGCGTCGATGGAGGCGGTGCTGACGGAGGCGGCGCTGACGGTGGCGGCGCTGACGGAGGCGGCGCTGACGGCGGCGGCGCTGACGGCGGCGGCGCTGACGGTGATGGCAGTGCGGGCGGCGTCGAGGAAGGCGGCGTCGACGGTGGTGGCGACAGCGGCGGTGTGACGGGAGGCGAGGGCGAGAGCGGCGGCATGCCGGAAGGCGGCGGCGGCGAGGGTGGAGGCGAGGGCGGCGGCGAGGGTGAAGGCGAGGGCGGCGGCGGCGTGGGCGGGGGCGTTGGCGGCGGCGACGAGGGCGGCGGCGGCGTGGGCGGGGGCGTTGGCGGCGGCGACGAGGGCGGCTGCAGCGGCGGCGGTGGGGAGGGAGGGGGCGAGGGTGGCGGCGGCGAGGGCGGGGGCGCGGGCGGCGGCGGTGCTGGCGGCATCGACGGAGGCGGCGACGATGGAGGCGGCGCTGACGGAGGCGGCTTCGACGGTGGCGGTGCTGACGGCGGCGGCGCTGACGGCGGCGGCGCTGACGGTGATGGCAGTGCGGGCGGCGGCGAGGAAGGCGGCGATGACGGTGGTGGTGACAGCGGCGGGGTGACGGGAGGCGAGGGCGAGAGCGGCGGCATGCCGGAAGGCGGCGGCGGCGAGGGCGGAGGCGAGGGCGGAGGCGAGGGCGGAGGCGAGGTCGGAGGCGGCGAGGGCGGGGGCGCGGGTGGCGGCGGCGAGGGCGGCTGCAGCGGCGGCGGTGGGGAGGGAGGGGGCGAGGGCGGAGGCGGCGAGGGCGGTGGCGATGACGGCGGCGGCGCTGGCGGCGTCGACGGCGGCGGTGATGACGGAGGCGGCGCTGCCGGTGGTGGCGTCGACGGCGGCGGTGCTGACGGCGGCGGCATTGTGGGCGGCGGCGACGAAGGAGGCGCCGGCGATGGTGGAGGCGACGGCGGCGGGGTGACGGAAGGCGAGGGCGAGAGCGGCGGCATGCCGGAAGGCGGCGGCGGCGAGGGTGGAGGCGAGGGCGGAGGCGAGGGCGGAGGCGGCGAGGGCGGGGGCGCGGGCGGCAGCGGTGCTGGCAGCGTCGATGGAGGCGGTGCTGGCGGCGTCGGCGGAGGTGGCGTCGATGGAGGCGGTGCTGACGGTGGTGGCGTCGTCGGTGGCGGTGATGACGGAGGCGGCGATGACGGCGGCCGTGCTGACGGCAGCGGCAGTGCGGGCGGCGGCGAGGAAGGCGGCGATGACGGTGGTGGCGACAGCGGCGGGGTGACGGGAGGCGAGGGCGAGAGCGGCGGCATGCCGGAAGGCGGCGGCGGCGAGGGTGGCGGCGAGGGTGGCGGCGAGGGCGGAGGCGAGGGCGGAGGCAGCGAGTGCGGGGGCGTGGTCGGCGGCGGTGCTGGTGGCGTCGCCGGAGGCGGCGTCGACGGAGGCGGCGATGACGGCGGCGATGACGGAGGCGGCGTCGACTGAGGCGGCGATGACG